CAGTCACATACCTAACAAATACACACAACACATGTGAGAGGCTGTGGCTTGTTTACGAGCTGCACAGCTAGCTCTAGTGGCTGTTGACCTGTGATTATTAAAAACACACCATAATGAGGAAAAGAGCTGTAGACCACATGTGACACACAAGCATCCGTTCCCAAGCTTGAAACCAAGCCGTGCAGCGTTTCATCTGCATTATCAAAGCAGATCACAGAAGTTGAAGCTGAGAAGGCTGAGGGTTTGTGTCTGTGTTTTCAGAATGGTGCAGGGGCTGAGAAAACGAGAGAGACAGATGCTATAGCAGTCCTTTATTTAGTCAGCTGACGGGAGCTCTAGAGGAAGCTACGCCTGCGATTAAAATTTTCAATCACAAAGACAAACGGGAAAGGAATGTGGAAAAAAAAAAAGATTTGCATTCCCTTAAGGAAATGGCTGGGAAGCAGAGAAAGAATGGTGTTAAAGTTTTAGCCAAGATTACATTCTAAGCTTTAGTTCTGTTAACGAAAAGCCGAATCAGAGCTCAGAATCTTGTCAACTGTGCATGAGAATCAGCACACAGCCTGACACCATCTTTGTAGTGTAAAGGCGAGTACATTAAATAGATGGAAAAAAAAATGCATCTATGCAAATTAATGCAAAAGACTAATCACAATTCAGTATGCAAAATATAATAAAGTCATCACTGTCGGTTAGATTTCCAATGCCAAACATTCTACAGTCAATGGGAGATTTTCAGACTGCAGGAAATGGTGTCCAAGTTGTTCAAGATTAATTGCAAAAAATCATAGAGAAGAAAAAAAAATAAACAGCAACAAGATTTCTTATCTCCGAACTCTTCTTCACTGTAAACCTATGATATGGTTATTATCGTTAACTAATAAAACTAATAAAAACATTTTTTGTTAAATGAAATAAATCTGAAATAAAATAAAACAAATATTAGATTAAAAAAATTAATTGAACTAAACTAAATACAAATTATAAGTTGTTTTGAATTAATATCAGTTTAAGTTGAAGCATTAAAATTACAAACTGGCAACAAGTAACTAACTAAATCTGAACTAAAAATAATAATAATAATTAATTATACCCAAGTAGTATTTTTTAAAGCACATAACATTAATAAATGACATTCTTTCAATTATAAAAATATTAATAAAAGTATAACCCAAATAATACTAAAATAACACTGTTCTATCAGGTTTATTTATTTTATTTTATTTTTTTGGATAGTCCACTAATGTAGGTAAAAACCTCAATGCTAATGAAGTCTAAATGAAGTCTGAAAATGGTATTTTTAAAGCACATAAAATTAATAAAAATCTAATACAAAGCTAATTCAAAATATGAATACAAATATATTACAAATAATACTAAAATAAAACTCTTCTATCAAGATTTTGTTTCTGCTTATTTGATAGTCCACTAGGTGAAAACCTGAATGCTAATGAAGTCTGAATGCTAATGAAAAGCAAGAGTATACATCTGATTTAAGATGTCATTCATTTCCGAAGCACGAACAACCTAGGGTGAGTTACATGCCAAAGTTTAATACTCACCCTTTGCCTTAATGACACCACAAAAAAGAAGTAAAAATATAAATAAAAGCAATCAATACTGTTCACACCATCAGCCTTCATATACAACTTAATAGAGTAGCAAAACGTCTCCTCATTAGTGTCTTAGTAAATGGCTTCCTTGTGGCATTTCCCAGAAAAAGAATCAATATCCAGTCTTGCAAAACCTCAAATGAAACCACCACTCCATCGTCCTGCTCTAATCTTCCTGTCCGAATACACAAGACAATAGTGTGACAAATTGATTAGATTAAATCTATTCTAGTGAAACATTTAAGTCAATGCTCTGGGGAGGCCGAGAGCCGGGGGGATGAAAAACAAGAGCACGAGTGTCTTATTGAGACAGATGTGAGTGAAAGAGTGAGGAAATTCCCAAAGGCCTGTCTGTCTGTCACTAAAAGACGAGAGAACACCTGAGTAATGGGTTGAGAAGGACCAGTCCAAACATCCCTCTCCCTCTCCTGCCTCTCTGCAAAGACAACAACACTATTCACACAAACTAATACAATCATCGTCTGACAGCCTTGACCACTACTGAGACTTCCTCTGCATGCTAATGGACCCACGGACAGACAAACCCCACACACGTAAGCACAGTAGCCATGCCAAACCCCCTCCAGGTCTGCAGACTGGCATCAGTGAACCAGGAAAAGCCTGGCACATCTGCAGCGGGCGCAGACACCCAGAATCTTTCAAAGACTGATAACAATTATAACCCGCTGGCATCCATCTTTCTGTGACTGCGCTGTCCAAAGGATATGCCAGCTGGCGTGTGCACAGACACACATGTGAACAGGAGTACACACATACTCATTGATGCTTAGATCAGATTGCAGGTCAGTACGAGCACTCAAGAGGGTAGATGCAATTTTATTTCGCTGTCTATGGGGCATCTGTTCAACTCCAAACAAGCAACTCAACAAGCTTCCAAAAATTACACCTGCGACCACTGCCTCTTGATTGCATCAAGTTTACAAATTACAGACAAACTATCTATCTATCTGTTTGAATATGTATAAAAAAAATCTGTATATGTATTTTACATATGGGTATATAAAATATTGAAAAACAAAAAGACGGAAAGGGATTTTCAGCATCAAAACAAAGTTTAATTCAGCTTTTAATTTTTTTTTCATACATTAGAATATGTTTTGTTTAATTTTTTCTGAGCATAAAATAATGACTATCATACATTTTTACAATGATTTACAAAAAACAACGACTAAAATGTCATTCAATGTAGTTATAGTTCATATAAAAAAAATACAAAAAAAAATTATATTTATATTTAGAACATATTTTTAATCATTCAAACTATAATAATTTATTGTGATCACGTTTTATTTTATATATTTAAATAATTATGTTGTTTCATTTTTAAGTAAATATTCTGAAACATTAAAGAAGACACTTTACTTGCATTCAATATGCTTTCTATATAAAATCACTTTAATAAATGTGATTTCATGTGGACACAAAAATGGGACATCTCATCTTTTACCCATAAATACACAAACTATTATTCCTATTCAACCATTCAAACCATTCATATATACTAATATATATATATATATATATATGTGTATGTACTGTATGTGTGTGAGAGAGATTAATATTTAATGTATTCTGTTGTGTATTATGAATCGTAGTATGCATTATATGATACACTTTTTAAATGTTCTATATGTTAACACATTTACATGTGTTCTGTATATCTTTTGATGCTCATGCAACAATAAATAAAGCAGGATGGTCTTACCTCTAGAGCTGCGGCTCGCTTCTTCAAAAAATGTTCTATATTCCGTGCCGCTGTTTCCACAAGCTGTGCCGCATTATTTGTTTTCACAGTAAAATAATTCTGATTATCCATAAAGACCTGCCATAACGGAGAGAAAAAGGCACTCATTATAGGGACTCTGGTAATGAAGTAACGAGATGATGGTTTACCGGTAATGATTGTTTTGATAATTAAGCAGGCTTAACTCTCACTCATGATTCGTTGGGGTGAATAGACATTAAAATACACATGCATCAATATGTATAGGAGAGTGTGTGTGCGTGGTAAAGTGTGAAGGCCACTGGACCTCTGACCTGTCTTAGATTATTCCCAGCGCTGGCTGTGTCTGCTAGAGAAACCAGCTCCTGCTGCAGCTGATCTACCCATTCTTTTATCCTGCAAACACAAACACTCACATTAAATATACAGTTGCAATCTAAATATATACCTAGAGGGGTCAGAAAATGTAATGGAAAAACAATACAAGTCTTTATGAAGTAACTAAACCACAGTCCTGAAGACAGCTACATATGGGAGTCACATTGAAACTGCAATTTGCAGTATGGAAGAGTTACAGCAAATGTGATCTCATGACAGGTGCTTTTAATATGCACGTTTTAAAAATAGCACGAAGCAGCTACAAACATCTAAACAGTCAGTTAGCACACTGCAAGCAAGTACTCAAGATGAATAACCTGGTGAATGCACAAAAAAACCTGTCCTTCAGAGCAAACACAAAACGCTTCAAGCATACACGTGTATAGAGTTTCCATCAGAAATGGCTTTAGGGATAGTCTGCTGTGGTTTTATAAGTGCTGTGCTTACTTTGAAGTTTGTGTGGCCCTACCTGATTGTTTAAACTAAACAAATCGCTCATTTATTTGATCAAGATTCCAAGACGTGACACGAAAATTGATCAAGCAAGTCAAAGCAGATAAATGCTCAATAAACTTGGACATATCAAAAATAGCAGATGAAGGACAGGAAAACATGAGGGTTGTACAAACATAAAGAAGATGGCACCTACCTGGAAACAATCAGCAAACATATGCAAAATAAGAATATTTTGCAAGAACTTCAAAATAAAAGCATAAATATACAAATTGAAAGGCATCTGCAAAATAGCATAAAACCTGCATTCCCTCAAACGGTTACTCTTTTATATCTGTAAGTATTTATATTTATATTTCAACCTACTATTCCTCTTGCCAACTGTTAATCTTGTAAACTGTAAATGGTTGTGGATCTGCTCTACATAAGACTAAATTCGGGGAAGTCACTGGTTCCAGTGACTGCGCCGCATGGTTATATAACATCCAATTAATATGAATAATTAATACTACTGTACAACCACATTTTAATGGAAACTCTCTTTCTTTATGATATTCCATGATGTGCCTATATACACTGCAAGATGAAAAAGAGAGTGAATTCATGGACATCAGGATGAAGTCACATGTCTTTCATGGCCTCTGTGATCACAGATCTAAAATTACCCAAACCATGATGAGAAATTCAGGAGGTGTTTGTGAAGTGTGAAGCCCATCAGAGAACTAGAAGTATCATCTCTTGAAGAAATGTATTTCTGATGCATTTAAACAAACTGTGATCCTATTTGAAACACTAAATAATTTTTATTTAAAGGGGTCATATGATGTTGCTAAAAAGAACATTATTTTGTGTATTTGGTGTACTGAAATGTGTTTATGCGGTTTAAGGTTCAAAAAACACATTCTTTTCCACATACTGTACATTATTGTTTCTCCTCTGTGCCCCGCCTTTCTGAAACGGGTCGATTTTTACAAAGCTCATCGGTCTGAAAAGCGAGGTGTGCTGTGATTAGCCAGCTATCCAGTGCGTTATGATTGGCCGAAAACCTCAAGCATGTGACGGAAATGTTACGCCCCTACCATACTGTGATGCCGTGTCCCGGCCGGAGCGACGAGACAAAAACATTAAAACCCATTATAAACGAGGCATTTGTTGCATCCTGTGGGGACATAATTACGGATTATAATGACTTAGGGGCCATTCATCTATAGTGTTTTTTGCATGCTCAAGTTCGTTATTTCAAATGTAGACGCGCGGCAGGCGCGCTCATAATGGAAGCGACATTTTTTCCAGGCGCGTCTGCGCTGCATCCAGATAAAAACATTTAAACTTTTCAGAATGCTGCAAGCGCACCGCGGGTCATGTGACAAGAACCAACCAATCAGCTTCATCCTTTCCCGTAACAACATTGAAAGCTCAGCCAAGATGATGGAACAGCTGATCATAGCTGTAAAGGATAGACATTTTTAAATAAATTTAGTAGCAGAGCTACTGCAAGCGATTTTTGGTGCTGCAAATACATTTATCCTTTGCTGAAACTTCTGCGTCTTCATGAAGTGCACAGGTCATGGTTGGTTAGCAACGGCAGACGTCTCTGGAGCGCAAGCGCCCGAACGCTTTGGGGAAAAAGCAGAAAGCGGTGCGCCTAGCGTTTTCCACGCGTTTTTAGGCGCAACATGTGAACGCCAAACAAAGTAGTTTCGCTTTCACAATGAAACAGCGTCTCACACCGCGGCCTTGAGTGAGCGGAGGCCGGAGGCCTAAAGTGAGCCGTGGCCTAGAGTGAGCAGAGGCGGACGGGCTTGAGAACGGTGCGGCCGGCGGATTCGACCAAGGAGCGTCCGGCGGGCTTGCTGCAACCACATGTGATGACCCCGGGCTGGACTCCGCTTCATTTACGGTGGAAGCCGATCGACAGCGTGAAGTTGATGTATTTCCTCAGTGACCAGCACGGATCAGCTCCAGGCATGACGAAGCGGATATCGTCCTCTTTTGGAAGGCCAAACAAAGTAGTTTCGCTTTCACAACGAAACACACAGCGCCTTCACGACATGGTGGCGGCGGCAACAACAATACTACAGCGAGAATAAAAGTTACGCCTTCTTTCTTTGCGTGAACATTTGGGCGGCGTTATGCAAATCTTCCTACATCGTGACGTAGATATGTGGGGGCGTGTTAGAACGAGCCGTTTTAGTTAGGCGTGGTTGACTCAACTTTTTTAAAGAATATCTCTTTGGATTTGAGACTTTAGTCTTTGCAACTTTACAGATTTTCTTTATGCACCAAGAGCTTGTAACACTCCAAAGAGAAAGGAAATCATATGCATCATATCGACCCCTTTAATATTCATTTTATATTTTAGCTAAATATAAATATTCAAAAGTTTGTGGTGAGCAAGATTTATTTATTTATTTATGTATTCGTTTGTTTAATTTTATTTTTATTTTTTGAGGAAATTTTAAAAGTTAATTTCCTTCAAATTAAAAGTTTCATTTCCTTAAAAAAATTAAATTAAAAATAATCATCAAATGATCCTGACAAATAATGTGTCACTGTTTCCACAAAAATATTAAGCATTACAACTGTTTTCAACATTGATAATAATGAGAAATGTTTCCTGAGAACCAAATCAGCATATTAGAATGATTTCTGAAGGATCAAGACTGGTGTAATGGATGCTGAAAAGTTTGCTTTCCCAACACAGAAATAGGGAGGGGAAAAATCAATTTGAAAAAAATATTAAAATAGAATTAGTTATTTTAAATTGTAATAATATTTCAAGTGCATTATTGTTTTTGCTGTATTTCTGACCAAATAACTGCAGCCTTAGTAAGACTTTTTCAAAAACATTATGTAGTGTATATTAAATAATTTTTTATCTTTACTTATTAAACATTCACGCTCACTCACTTATGCTGCACAGAAATATTCTGTAAAACATTCTGCCCTCTCATGTATTATTTTTGTGAGGGAACAAAAGAGTGCTGTCTGCATAAAAGAAGCTGACTAGCAAATGTTCAGTGGTTTTGTGGTACCAGAGGAGGCCAAGGTCTTACTCTCTTTCCCAGAAGCACAAAAGCACACATATCCACAGCAGACGTCCAAGTTTAATTCGTGAACCCAAACCGTCAATACTAGTATAATAGAACCCTCTGGTGCTCTCTGTATTGGGGTCAGAACCGAATTTGAAAAGGGGAGTGAAAAAAGATAGACAGGCTGCAAAGAATTCTGAATTTAATATAGGCTCCTCCATTCTTCTCCTCTAGCGCTCATTCTATTGTTCTGTCATGGACACTTTTTCCTCAGGGGCCGGAAACACAGAAGCACAGATGTAGGTTGCAATGAGACAATCTGCTGGTTGAGGTGCTTTCTAACGAGCAGAGGCTATGGACAGATATGGTTATAGCAGCACTTTTTTAAACTAAGTCTGCTAAGTCAAAATATCCTGTTTGCAAGAAGTTGCCTCCAGCAATGTAAAGTCCCACACACTCTTTAAAACACTCTGTAAATAAGCCATTAGGCTACCAGTCAGACCTCCTTCACTCACAGGGCTTTGGCTGGCTCACAGGAAGTTGCACACTACCTAATAAACTTACAACCACACATGTTGCCAGGTTTTATGGTGGAAGAAATGCAAAGTTTCTCACAACCGCCATGCTTCACTAATGCACCCGAGTCTAAACGTATAAAGGCCGGACACACCAAGCCGACTTCAAAGAACTAGCGGCGACGAAAGCCGACGGTGTTGTTGCCTCACGTCGGCAGCGTCGGACCAAAAGGCTGTGCTCGAACACACCGCACAGACTAGGTCTACAGCCGACGGCAAACTAACACGTGCGTTCTGCGCATGCGTGAGAGGAATTAACTGTTTATATCAGCACCTATCAATAGTAGGCCTAGCCTATATATTCGTCATTCAAAATGAGAAACCGAAACAAAGATATACGAGATAAACGCAGATATAGGCTACGAAACGTAAACAAAGCAGCGCTTGCATACCATTTTGAATATCAGTAATGTTGATAACTTTAATAATTTTAAGCGGCTCATGTTGTTATGAAAACATTCGCGTATTAGAATGATTGGGAAAGATCATGTAACATTTATACAGCCTTCTGTCTGTACCGCCTTCATTTAGATGCTTGTTTTCATCACTTTCGCTTTAATTCTCAGGCACTGACTCGTTCGCTAAACTGAACATCCAATCAGAGCTCTCACTCGCGCCGACGTGCCCGACGCCGATTCAACATGTTTGAATCGGGCAAACTGCCGCCGACGTGAGCCCGACGAGTGGAACACTCCGATATTAAATTACATGATATTAAAAATATCTTGATGGATTTGTCTCTTACAAACAAACAGCAGCTTTCTGCTTCACAAGATGTTACTTGATAGACTGAAGTGGTGTGGATTACTTGTGGATTATTGTGATGTTTTCATCAGCTGTTTGGACTCTCATTCTGACGGCACCCATTCACTGCAGAGGATCCATTGTTGAGCAAGTGATATAATGCTACATTTCTCCAAATCTGTTCCAACAAGGAAAATTGTTATTTTTGGGTAAC